CATTCATTGTATTCTTCGTTGACTCGTTGTTTGTTGTGTCCACGATACTGACTCACAAACTATTGGATTCTGGACGGAGGAGTACTGGTCTCGGAGATTTCACGCCCCCATCTTTTCCCTTCTTCAGCCTCCATGGCCGACACATCGGGTCTGACAGACCCTTTGGCGGATAGAGGGCCTGAACTGAGTGGCACCACGACGGCGTTGCTCGTTCTCGCAACCGTTTTTGTCGGTCTCCGGTTCTGGGCGCGATGGACTGTTGGCTTTCACTATGGCCTCGATGACTGGTTCATGGTGGTTGGCCTGATTGTCACCTTTATGGCGGGAGCCCTCAACTATGCCAGTAAGCACTAGACAAGACGATGGTTGAAGTGAGGGCATCACGAAGACTGACCCTGAATATAGTGATTGCACAAGGCCTCGGCCGCCACGCCGCAACATTATCACAAGATACCCTGATCCAGTTCCTCAAGCTGCTGCTGGCGTTTGAGTGTGTATACGTGACGGCGGTCATGTTCATCAAGATCTCGCTGCTGCTCATGTACCGCCGCATCTTCCCCGGCCGCGGCTTCAAGATCGCGGCCATGGTCCTCGGCCTCCTCACCATCGGCTGGTGGCTCGCCATCGTCTTTGTGTGTGTCTTCCAGTGCACGCCCGTGGCCAAGGCCTACATGCCCTGGATCGAAGGTACCTGCATCGACCTCAAGGCGTCCTTCATTGGCAACGCTATCCCCAACATCTTGACCGACGTGGCCATCCTGTGCTTGCCTATCGGCCAGGTGTGGAAGCTACAGGTGACATTGGCTCAGCGGTTGTCGTTGTGCTTCATGTTCCTGCTGGGAGGATTGTAAGTGATGCCAAGCCCTGAGGTAATCGTATAAGTGCTGACCTCGACAAAGTGTACTCTTCGCCAGTATCTACCGCTTCACAACAATTATGCAGTTTGAGCTCACTGACACGACATGTAAGGCTCGCCCAGCCAGCTACTTCTACTCATCCACTGACGATATACCTAGGGACCCTCGCCACTGCGTGTACATGGTGCGTCGTCGAATGTGCCTGCGGCGTTATCAGCGCTTGCCTGCCCACATTACGCCCCCTCATGGTCAAAGTCTCGTCGCAGTTCGGAAGCATCGCGACAAAGTACAACCTCTCTGGGGGTCAGAGCGGCGGTCGCTCAAAGGCCGGAAGCCGGGGGCCCACGGAACTCATGACGATCGGGGGAACGGGAGGGAAGTCGGCCGACAGAGGGTTCAAGCGCCTGGGAACCGAGGACGGAAAGTACGGCATCACGACGAACATCTCAACCCGATCTGCAGGAGCAGGAGGAGGAGCGACGACAAAGCCCTCGGAGGGTTCTGACTCGGGCTCGTGCGACGACTTGTCCCTGAAGGGCGGAATACGGATCAAGGTGGACCAGGAGGTCCGTTGGGGCGAGGAGAGCCGGTCTCGTCAGGACTCAACGGCGTCGACAAAGTACGAGTCTTCATCACGGAGCGGATCCTCGCATCTGGGCTCAAACCGAGTCTGAAAATGGGTCTTGACGACTGCATAATGAGAAGCGTTTACTTTGTCATATCATAACTGAACATAATAGAAACCTAATACAGAAGAGCGATTGTCAGCTTCAACAGATAACCGCCCGCCGGATTCAAAAACCATCTTGGACTTGACTCTGTACCGGAAATCTAGGCCCCAAAACTATTTTTTGGCATCGCAGCGTCCCGGACCAACCCAGCTAGGCATCGACCTCTCGCGTCCCATACTCGAACATGGCATTCGACTCCACGGCGCTCTCGTCAACGAGCTTATGCGCCGACTCTACGCCGGCGACAGGCAGCTTGAACTCGAATTTCTTCCCGGACGCCGGACCGCTACCGTTAATCTGGTAGGGGAACGGCAGGAACTCAGGCAGGAGGCCAAGTTGGCGCAGCGCGGTAGCCTGGTCCCAGGCAATGTGCTCGTGGTGGAGATGGTCGCCCCGTACGTTCACGACACTCGTAAAGGGGATAGAGAGATGCTTTCCAGTTGGCGGAACACCGGGAAGCCTGCGTTCGAGGTTAGAAGTACGCTCTTCACTTGTTTTGTGCTGGGGGACCCTTACAGCCAGTCAATGACCCTGTTGTGGGTGCACTTGAAGACAAACTCATCAATCACTCGATCAATACCAACCGTGCGGCTGACCAGCTCGAGCTCGGTGTCATCGGGATTGTTGAAGATGAAATGGTCTCTGTAGAAGCTGGTCAGGTATTGGCGGCCCACGCCGCCGGTGAGCGTCGGGATGTGATTGACCTGCGCCGGTATTAGCCAACCTTGCCCTTGAGAGCAACCTCCCGACAAAACTCACATAGGGCTGCTCGACCATGGTGGCCATGGTCTTTTCGACATTGCGCTCGCCAAACTCGAAGAGAGTGTGTTCTTCCCAGACGGCCTCTAGATCAAAGTACGGCCCGCCGAGGAGGGGTTTCAGGAACGTCAGTGTGCGGGTGTGCGCGAGCCCTGCGGCATTGGCGTTGAAGTTGGGATGGCTAGGGACGACGAAGAAGTCGCTTGCTCCGGGGTAGGAGTGTGTCTTTGCCGTGGGAGTTGGCTTGGGACTGTCTGTCACGGTTTTGGGAAGATGCGAAAGGGTGGGAATTGTGAGTGTCTGGCCAAAGTTGTAAAATACGGCCGCCTTGATCTCGGAATGACTCTCCAAGGCGTCGACAAGTTGCGAAGAGGGGGCACTGATGAGAGCTGGTGAGATTTGTTAGTTGGAGGTTTCCAATAGGCAACGATGTCCTTACAAATGACACCAAACTTGTCCTTGTCGTCACAACTGTCGAGCTCTCTGAGACTTTCAATGGCCGAGGTAACCTGACCAACAACGTCCGCGGCTCCTGGTGCAACTGTTATCTGCGCAACGGCGTATCCTTCCTCTGCCCATTTTTGTGACGGAGGAGGGTCCAGGATCTTGTCATGTTTGGACAGGTTGATGCCCTCTTCGACCACGATGATGAGCCCAGGCCCGTGGCCACGGCGGGATAGTGGTGGTTGAATCGTCACGGCGCTCATCTTTTCCTAATTTTGTTGTCTCGCTTTGAGGTAGAAACTCTGCTCAACGAGTTGGGGATCCTTTTTGTAATGTGCGACTTCGCGATTGGCACCAATGGAACGGCATCGACTTTGATGACCAGTTGAACAGGTTTCAATGGTAAGGTGAGATCAGTTGCGCCTCCACTTGGTGCAACCCCCGCTCGAGATATCGGCCGATTCCTCCCAACTCCATTCCCAGATAAGGCAGTCAGCCGGGTTGGCAAGCCCTCTGTAACAACCTCGGCCAATCGCGATTGTTCCTCGAGAGTTGCGTCTTCCAATGCCATGTTGCAATTGAGGCGGTTTAGGAAAGAGTCCGTCAACAGTCCTTGGCGGTAAGTAATCATGTTTATCTAACCTCAGCATAGTATCGCTGATAGGGATACCTGGTTGTCCGAGTACGCCGTTGTCTGGAAACCTGAGAGAAGAGACCAATTGAGTTCAGGGATGAGATGTCAAAAGATGCAGAGTCCCCATTGAGTCTGTAACTCAATTGGCGCAAAGCTACCTTTTTCCCGAGTTGCTGAGCGACATAGAGGATGTTGGAGGCAAGGTGTCTTTTCAATTTGTTGACACACAACTGGCTTGACGCACCACACATATTTGACTCAATTGCGTTTAGAACATCCTCAAGCCCACAAAAATTGCATTTCTCTAGGTATTCCATTGCAATGAAACCAGGTCTCACTCAATTGCACGGCCCATAGCTAAGCGTGTGAAGCTCGCTATTGGCACCTCGAAAGATGGCAAAAGAAGCAATTGGTGCAGAATGCAAGGGACCAGCCAATGCAGGGGCGCAGGGGCTGCAGACAACCCAAGGGCGGGTCGTGGCATTTTAAGGGATCTGCCGTGTACTGTGTAACGCCGGGCGGTAGTTGTCTAGAAGCGGGAGAAGAAAAGGCTGCGATAACGTATAATCACCTTCACATCCGTTCTCAACCTTGAGAAGAACTGAAGCAGTCTTTGTTCATAGCAACTTTCCAGTCTACGACTGTAAGTGAAGGTGACGCTCGATGACCATCCTAGCTGCCCCCGTCGACAATGACGTGCCGCGCCGGAAGCGTGGGGAGTCCCGTTGCCGCGTTCATCACAGATTTCCCCCGTCCCCCCTGTGGGAACTCCCCGATCTTTGGTCCCTGCAGTGTGCGTGGACTGTGGACTGCCTTACGAGTCCAGACACCCGGGACCGCATGTGGGAGGCGTATGGCGGCCGATGAATGGTCGACGGTGGTGTCCCATGTCCACACAAGTCGTCCTGCATCTCATCTCAGATCCATCCCTCGGACCACCGCATCCAGAGCCTCAGCTTTGATATGCTCAGACACTCTACCCCAGACAGAACTGCCAGAATATTCTCGTCTAATCGTACAGGCTAGTTGTCGTTCGTTCGCCATGACAGTTGTCACCGAAGAAGAGTGACATGAAGGAAACTTGGGCCACCCGCCAGCCAAGGCGATGGCTGATGGTATTTCAATGTCTTGAAACTCTAAAAACCACTCCCCCCGACTATGAAAGCTGGCCTGAAGCTGCCCTCCAATACCCTCCGTGCCGGGTGCCCTTCATTCTAGCCCCTCCCTCCCTGGCCATAGTCGGCGACGCCACGCCACACTATACAGACTACCCAAGATGTCAGACACAGCTCCCTGGCGTCCATTTTGAGACCTGGGTCCCTTGCTCAGCTTCTTACTTGTCTCCGACGTAAGTTCGACTCTTTCCCACCTCCAAACCTCGCGCTCTGCGTTACTCTTTCTTGCTCATCGTCATAGTCAGCTTGCTCTAATGCGGTGATTTATGATCCCTGGCCCAGCAAAGACAACCATCGCTCACTGCTGGTTCTGGTCCCAAGTTGCGCACATCGATCGCATCAACCACGTCTTTGAAAAGTCGCCGACTCCAAGCCGCAGCATCCATCGACAGCATTCGCCATGTCGACTGCTCCAGTGAACAGGCAAACCTTCATTGGCCTGCTCATCCTTCTCTTCTTCCTGTGGACGCTCTCGACTTTTACCCAGACAACATCGACAACTCCTACACACATTGTGAGTCTTGAGCCAATGTGTGGTCTTTCTCTAGGCTCTCTGGACTAACTCTCGACTCCCTAGACACACGACCAGCAGTCTGCCAATCCTGTAGGCCATCCGCAGTACCCGAACAGTAATAGCAATGCCGCGGATAAGCAGAAGCCCGACAAGTCCTCGAAGCCGTCCCACGATATTTCAAAACCAGACAAGGCGCCAGAGTACTCCCTTCCGCCATGGTACGAGGACGACGAAGACAAGGCAGACAAGGCAGCCTCTCAAACGACTGCCAAGGGAGCGAAGGAGACCGCAAGCGCTGCCTCTGACAAGGGCACGAGCAAGAGCTCGTCTGCCTCTACATCTCTAAAGTCGCATTCGTCCTCGTCTTCTGCCACCTCGAAAGAATCATCCGGCTCCAAGGACCGCAGCCGTCCCCTAGTCCTCTACGCCTACGCCGAGTCCGACGCCGGCCGCGAGAACCTCCAGTTCTTCGTCAAGCAGGGCCTGCACGACGCTGCCGACTTCATCTTCATCCTCAACGGCGAGACCAACGTCAGCAGTGTCATCCCCGAAAAGGACAACATCAAGGTTGTTGCCCGCGACAACACCTGCTTCGACCTCGGCGCGTACGGCGAGGTGCTCCGGAAAGGAGATCTGTATAAGAAATACAAGCGATTCATCACCATGAACGCCAGTATCCGCGGCCCTTTCCTACCTCACTGGGCGCAGTCGTGCTGGACTGACATGTACCTGGACCGTCTCACGGATGAAGTCAAGGTAAGACGATGACGAAGTTCCGCAACTCTGGTGACTGCTGCTAACATGGCTTGCTAGCTGGTCGGCATGACGGCAAACTGCTGGCCCCGATTCCACGTCCAGTCCATGATCTGGGCCACCGACAGCGTAGGCATCGATCTGCTCCTCAACCCCCCGCCTGGCTCCTCCGTCAAGGACGACTTCGGCACCGAGAACGACCCCGTCGGCCTGGGCGGCTGCTACGACGGCTGGAATCACGCTGTGCATGCCGAGATTGGTGCTACGGGCACCTTCTTGAAGCAAGGCTACAAGGTGGACCTGATGATGACGGCGTTCCAAAAGTCCAAGAACTACATTGAAGAGTGCGACACGTCGCAGAATGGTGACGTTCTCTGGAATGGCAAGTACTTTGGTACCAACGTGCACCCGTACGAGACCATCTTTATCAAGGCCAACCGCGACATTGACCCGACTCTGATTGAGCATTTGACGACCTGGCATCAAGCGTCCGGTTTTGACAGCTATGCCGCTTGCAAGTCGAGTTCCTAGTGGTTGGGTCATGTTTTGGATGTAGTATTGGGCGCCCGGCGTTGGCTATTTCCTTCATGTTTTGGAAGTACAAAGGATGAATGTGTACATTAGGCGCATGTGTACGGCAAAAGAGCGTAGTTGGAGATGAATGCATATTGGATATCACTTTTAGATAACGAACCGAGTCAAAATCGATCGGCAGTGTGTTTCTGACTACTGACTACTACTTGTAGCTCCAAGTTGTTCCAGTCTGGCCAACTTTGCCCCGCGATGTTTGCTGATCCCGAAACCTGCTTTCGCGTCTTCCACTCCGACCAACACCTGACCGTTTCTTCTTGTAAGCGTACAAATTATGTTAAATTTGAGTTTGAACCCCGTTGATGTGGGCATAGTGAGGCTGTCAAGATGGATCTCAGCTGGAGATCTCTATGGAAACCCGCGTAACGCGCGGTGAACATTTCGTTGATGAGATACATAAACTGACACGGATGGCTTGCTTCGCAGGTGAAGGACATATCTCACCAGATTCTTGCTGCCATACCTTGTCGAAGGTATCTCTCGAGTTTATTCGGCCTCAACTGTACACATGCCCGGGCTTCAATTGCGTTAACCTACCAAAACTACGAATTATCACGATGCGGCCCTCAGTGACATTTTTCATCTCAGTACTCGCCGCAGCCACAAAAGAAAAAGACTGCGCCTATGTCTGGTTCTACCCGAGTGGCACGTGGGACAAGTGGGCAATGGGCCGTCCAGACGAGGCCATTGGCATCTGCGTCGAGGAAGTCGGCGGCTGGGTGTACTACCCCGACCAGAACGGGCAGGACGGCGACATCCCGGCGAACCGGTGTACCATCTGCCGCGACGCGAGAAGCGGCACCAAGGACTGTGATATCGATAATGACTACTTTCGTATACGGTGCGGTACGTATGATGAGGAAAGTTGTGGTACGTAGAGGTTTGAGAGGTGAGTTGCCATAGAGTGCGTCCCGGATATTGTCACTAAGTTTACTGGCTCGGTGAAAAGTATCAAAAGAAGAATCACCGAATGTGAAGGGTAACACAATTAAATCAGGAGAAGCTAAATGCGACTGAAAGTCTGTTCTCGCTCTGTACCACCCAAGTTGGAATATCCGTTGCGGCAGTTGAAGGATACAGCACCCATATGTTTGAACACGATACACACCTTACCAAGGGCCTCTAGTACTGTTGCAGTTTCAGTGCTATCCTCCTGCGTCCTAGATGACTCGAGAATCATGAATGCATTTCGAGAAGTCACTGTCGTTTCGTATTAGAGATGAGCTCATAAAAGCAACATAATTACGTGAGTTCACAACACAGGTGTCATACACGATATTGTACCCACATTGACCCATTGAAACCCCGAGACCCCCCATATAACCTCACAGCCCCTCCGTCAAGATCAAGCTCCTCTTGCATCGTACACCTTTCCAATTTGCCCACAGAACTGCCCCTGTGCCGTCTTGACCCTCTTGCAGTTCACGATCTAGCACATACGACCATACCCATTGGAAAACTCGGGATCCCGTCCGCTCTCCCATAGATAAGCCAATGAGGGCCGGATTAGTAGTTGGGTCGGTGACGACCAGCGAATACCTGGTGTTGTATGTATTTTTGACGTTTTGGTGGATTCACGATGTTTTTTGTGGTGGATATAAGTCGAGTTTTGTCGGTTGTGAGAGTGCACCAAAAAAGAGCAGTGCGGCTGCTGACTGTACAACTGCAGCTGCACAATGACTAAGAACCTACCTTACACTGCAGTCTGCAGGTGCCAGGCAGCCTTTTAAGAAACCCCTGTCGACCACCCGAGAGCTTGAACTTTGAATTTGAAGCATGGCCGGTAGCCGGAGCTAAACCCCATCAAGGAGGTCAATCGAACTTGGCCCCCGGGCTAGGCCGGCCGTCTCACTTTCGATCCTCCCCAATGGCCGCCAAGAGCCAGTCAGCAACCCGTCGTAAAGCCTGATGAGGCAATGGGACCCAGCGACCATCTCCAGGCAGCCGTCAATTTCCCTGCCGTCATCCTGCTCGCCCGTGCGGCTGTCGAGGTTCACCACGACTTTCGATGCAGGAACCAGGATTTCTCGAGGTCGCCAATCGGTCCGGATTGGATGGATTGGACGAACACCTGCAGCTCGATGCCGTCAATCCTTGTGTTCTCTTGAAATAGACTTGAAAGACTCCCGCTGGTTGGCGAAGCGATGTCGACAAAGTGAAGGACCAGGGGGTCTTTTGGTGAGGAGAGCTACAAAATACACTAGAGCTATTCAGCCCTCACGATCGACATTTGCATTAGCGTCCAGGCCCCAAGAAAGAGCTGGTGCTACGGCATCGGGTGCTGCGCCCCTGGGATAATCTCGTTTTCCTTCCTCCTCACTTCATTGGCGAATCCTGGGGTTTACCGTTGCGGCCCGCAAGACTCGGGAAAGGCATCAGAAGCTTGTTAAGACGGCCGGTCTTCCCACACTTCTTTGTCTCCGTCTCTGCATCCCTCTCATCGCAAGCCTGACAATCCATCGAACATTGTCAACATGGTCCGTCTCAGTCTTTTGGCACTCGCTGCCACCACGCAGCTCGCCCACGCATGGCTGCCCAACGACGGCACCAGAAAGCTGTTGGATACCCGCGGCTTCAGCCTCTTTGACAACCAAAACACCACGTCCGATGACTCTGATGGCGTGAGCAAGCGCTGGTGGACGGCTTCCGGCAAGATCAGGGGCGTCAACTTGGGCTCCCTGTTCGTCTTTGAGCCCTGGATCGCCAACAACGAGTGGAACACCATGGGCTGCGGTGGCCAGCAGTCTGAATTCGACTGCGTCATGAACACGGGCCAGGAGAGGTCTGATGCCGCGTTCCAGAAGCACTGGGATACGTGGATCACCGAGGGTGACTTGGATGAGATGATGTCTTATGGCATCAACACCATCCGTATTCCCGTGGGATACTGGCTGGATGAGTCGTTGGTTGACCAGAACTCTGAGCACTTCCCAAGGGTTTGTGGCCCTTTGATCTGTTGTTTGACTAAGACTGACCGAATATAGGGAGCTGTCAAGTACTTGATCCGGCTCTGCGGGTGGGCTAGTGACCGCGGATTCTACATCATCCTGGAGTATGTTTAACAACCCATGAGACGCCTTCAAAGACTAACAACATGAAGCCAGCACGGTGCCCCGGGTGCTCAAGTGGCCAAGAACTCGTTCACTGGCCAAGTAAGACCTCCTATCCCTAGACTTATGGCCGTCCTCTGACTGTCTCCAGTTCGCCAACACCCCTGGCTTCTACAATGACTACCAGTACGGCCGGGCTGTCAAGTTCCTCGAGTTCCTGAGGAAACTTGCCCACGACAACAACGAGCTCCGAAACGTCGGCACGATCGAACTCGTCAACGAGCCTACCAACTGGGATTCCTCCGTTCAGTCTCTCCGCAGCACGTTCTACAAGAATGGCTACAATGTTAGTCACTACTGTCGATACCTTGCGCATCTCACTAACACTCTCAGGCCATCCGCAACGTCGAAAAGAGCCTCGGCGTCAGCGCCAACAACTACTTCCACATCCAGATGATGTCCTCGCTCTGGGGCTCCGGCAACCCGACCGAGTTCCTCGACGACACCTACTTCACCGCCTTTGACGACCACCGCTACCTCAAGTGGGCCAACAAGAACGACGTGCCCTGGACGCACGACAGCTACATCTCGACGTCGTGCAACGACAACCGCAACGGCGACGCCTCGGGCCCGACGATTGTCGGCGAGTGGAGCATCAGCCCGCCCGACGAGATTGAGAACTCGGACGACTGGAACCGCGACACGCAAAAGGACTTTTACAAAAAGTGGTTCGCAGCGCAGGTCCACGCCTACGAGAAGAACACCGCCGGGTGGGTGTTTTGGACGTGGAAGGCCCAGCTTGGCGATTACCGGTGGTCCTACAGAGGTGAGTTTCTTTGATGGTGATTGATGATGTGTATGCTAACGAGGTTGTAGACGGTGTGATTGCCGGAGTCATTCCTAGGGACCTGAACTCGATCGCCAGCTCGGGCGTCTGCGGTTAGGTGTCGTCTTTGGCCACGTTGACGGAGAACGAGATATTTGACGCATTATGCATTCTCATTGTAGATATTTCCATACATAAGCATTTGAACGTGTAAATGACCCTCCTGATCCGACCTCGTATCGGAGTTCCACTGCATCTTGTCAAAAAAGCAACGTAACCTGCGCGAACCCGCACAGCACACCCCATCACCGGCCCTTTCGGCATGCATGATTCCCTAACCAGGACGGCGGCGTCAGTGTCTCGTCCGCATCCAGTAAGGCCTCAACCCCCGCTAGTCTCCAGTCAGCAAACGGCCTCGAGATCAACCTTGCCGGCGTGCAGGATCAATGACAAAATGCCATCTACATAGGAGATGATGCAGTGGAAGTCCATATTCTCCGGTGTGAGGCATGCTGATCGTGTCAAGCTGATCGTGTCAAGCTGGATGCGGCCTTTTTCTCGTATCTTTTGACTATCATCGCGACTATTTTCTCACCACCAAGTCACCCGAGTCAAAAATTGAGCCAAGATGCCTAACCGGCCCGCCGGCACATCCGCGTTGGTTCCAACGTCATGTCTCACTTACACATGGGATTCAGCTCTGCCCTTACTAATCCCTCGCAGGACTCTCAGGACTTGGGACAAGTTTGTGACCAAAGACACCAAAATCTGAAGCGGATTTCCGCAATGTCTCGCATCACTATATTGAAAACACCCTGACATTACAAGGTTGCATCTGACATTTCAGCCTCGAAAAGCCCAACCCGTACCACCGTCATCTATGACGTGCATGTGGCGCCGTTCCGTCCCGCCTTGGAGAGCGCCATTTTCCAACTCAATTCCCACGATGCAGGAAACGTGGGGTTCCTCTGAAGCTTCTTTTTTTGTGAGGCAAACATCTGGCTTCCCTTCAAGCACTGCTGCCCATAGTTCTAGACCACGTGTGCTCCTCTTTTCCGTTCATTAACTTCAGATTGACCCACGGCCGGAAACTTGGAAATCTGAACCCGCGTAGAGTTTGCGTGGCTTGGTGTGGGGTATCCTGCGCCGGGAAACTCAAGCGTCAGCATCGTCAGTTTTGTGGGCTGCTTGATATTGCTGTTTGATAATCTAAGCAGTCACTGCCGGGGCGGAGTACACGGAGGGCTGACTGAAGTGACAGACCCGGTGCAACCCTGTGAACAAACGACGAGGACGATCAGAATCAGACGAAGCAGCTGTTTCCCCAGATTTCTTGCCTCACCGAGGACACCAACTTCCTCCGTTACTGGCTCGTTTGCGCTAGCTCCGTGCTCATCAACGGAGCCGAATTGTGGGCGGTGATCGACACCACGTTACCAGTGCTCCTTTGAGACTTCCTAGTTTGCTAGTTTGCGTCCATGTCACCCTGGAAAGTGACACCAACTTTACGATGCGGCTAAGGACCTCGTGTATGTTTAGCGGGGTTCCGCCTTCCCCCGACCGCCTCTTTTTTTTCTCCCCTCCCGCCAGATCCTTCCAACATGATCGTCCGTCAAGTGGGAAGAACGAGGGACAGCAGGGTCTCTCGGGGAAAGAAGCTTGTCTGAACCGGAAGCAGCAAGAGAGACGCCAGTGTTGTCTCTCTCTTAATATAAACCACGCCACCCCGCTCTTCTACAACCTCATCCCATCCGTCCTTGGTTAGATCCCTCATCACCAAACGTCGTATCCAAACCTCAAGGTGTCCAACATCATTCATCGCATCTTTCAAGGTACGTGAAAGCCTCCAACAATTGCTGCCACCTGTGTCTCTTGTATTGGCCTACGAATCAGTTCGAAATTGGAGAAAGACTGGAGACGGATGTACTGACGCCTTCTAGCAGTTGAGGTATAAAGACCAGGGTCATCTCCTCTTCATCATCATCATCAGCATCAGCAACTATCACTTCTTCACAAACACATCGTCATCACCTCTTCAACCATCAACATGAAGGCCGCCTACGCCATCGCCCTTCTGGGTGCTACTCTAGCTTCTGCCCAGTTCACCAACCAGACCAAACCCTTCTGGCTCAAGTTCACCCCTTGCACCGGTGGCTCCGGCGAGACCTACCTCACCTCGTGCCACTCCGGCGCCGGCCAAGCTGGTCTTTGCCCCGAGACCACGGAGCCCGTCCAGGAAGCCAATCGCCCCACGACTCACACAAACTACTTCCTCAACGAGACCCAGTCCGACTTCAACGGTCACCTCCTCGGTGCCCTGACCTGGAACCAGCCCATCGGCAACGGCGACCCTATCTCCTCCGGTATGATGCTCAACCTGCAAATCGTTAGCAACGGTGCCATCCCCATCTTCTCCCCAGGAAACACTGCCCTCTTCACCCTCGGCTTTGACGAGAACGAGAAGCTCTTCATCTACTCCCGCGCGGACGACTCCAAGGCCGTTGCTGGCTCGCAAGCTCCCTATGGCGACGAGGCGTACTACCGCTGGCACGTCTGCTACACTTTTGTCGGCAACTACTACTACCGCTCTCTCGTCTGGATCACCGCCGGCCCGGCTTCCAACCCTACTTGCGAGGCTGTTGATGTCTATCGCGAGTGGGCTTAAGGCATGCATGGAAGGGGCTCACTGGTACCAGCTTCGACTGAGAGAAGAAGCCCGAGCTTCATGGTCGGTCCTGCAACAATTACACGACAGCAACTCTGGCATTGTCTTTGGTCTGAGTTCCGACACGACTGATGATGGTGGCCTACCTTCTGGCTGATGGAGTAAAACAAAAGTTTCAATAGCTAATCCTAATAAACTATACGTCACAAACACTGGATAGTGCTTCTTCCCCATTATACTGTCAATTGATGTTGGTCCATATCATGGCTGTCATGCTATCCTACTCTATCGGCCCAAGCATGAATCTGGGGCATAAAAGTAGTACCTGCCGTCTTATCGTATCTCGGGTATTTCGTATCGTGTGGCTTTTTCCAAAGCCCGATCTCATTCATGACAATTCCCGAAGCCAGGAAAGTGGAAGGAAACCCAGTACCATACCAGGATGAAAGTGAAAGTACTTGTCTGGATAAACTTCCGAATCTCATTAGCCCTGTTACCAAACCATCGGCAACCATCTGATCTTCTCAGAGGACCCCTGATATGTCGTCTTCCAGGGACCCCGTGCATGGGCCGCCCCTGTTGGGAATGACATGGGCGGGGACGTTCTCTCTTGACGGGAAGCTTACATTACCATCCCTCCTCTAGCTCCTTGATACCGACCTCTGATGCAGAGAAGTCAACAGTGCACTTGAGAATGTATGCTGCACGATTATAATATGATCTGAAAGAATTTGAACTTTGTTGTCTTAGGTTTGTATCCCGGGCGAACAATGAAATGGCGGGGTAGACCAATCATGTAAGCGATCACCCCGCCAGGCACTTACATGGACTGTGGATGCCCCGCAAGTTCGCCAACACTGAGAAGAGGCCGTACCAGAGTAAGGCAGGTCTGGATCTTCTTTTAGTAATTTCAAGACTTTGACGGAAACTCAGAAATTCGAAGATTCATATTGTCACGAACTCAATAGCCCCATCAACCGATGAACCATCAGCATAATGCTTCGGAGACACAGCAACCCAATGAACCTCAAAGGAAATAAGCAGACCGCTTGCTACGTGATGAAACATGTGAAGTGCGGCGAATCCATCTTGAAGGATTTCTGTATATCTGAAAAGGCCTTCAGGTCGAGAGAAATATGGATGCGATCGCCCCTGGTCTTGAGTCAGCTGTTGGTGCTTGTGCTGACATTCAGCCATGTGGTATGGCATCCCACCAAGGAATCTAAAGCATAAGTAGCTTACCTAAGGTAGGCACCAGCCATATCGTATCGCATCCCAACTGAAAGTCTTCTCACTGGAATGACCCAAAGAAGTTATCTTCCAAGAGATAATACGCATTGTTGAAGTCATTCAACATGATATCAAGGTCGTCGGAGGTCGGCGCCGTCATCGGATTGGTGGTAGCGGCCATAGTTGTACCAAGGCAAGTCCCTCCAGCGGGAACTGGAGACTGAACCAGAACTTCGCAACCGCAGGTATCCTTGTGGCGCTTGATGTTAGACCGGTGGTTCGGAAAAGATTTGCCACATGACATCTGAATAGCCTGTCTGTGCTTAGAGTTGATGTGTCTTTTGAGGTTGGAGACACTCGAGTAGGCTCTGTCGCAGCCGGGTGTTTCACAGCGCAACTTTGCCTTATTATCTGAGGCAGGCATGGCGATATGAGCGTTTGACTTCCGCTGCGCTCAGAAGATAAGTAGGATCGTTGATATTGATCTAAGAACTCAAGGGAGGGGGGGGGGGGCACTTGGCGTGTCCTCTCCATTATCGGAAGGAAATCGGTGGACGTATTTGCGTCTTTTAAATATCCAGAGAAATGAGGAGTGTAAGTCTACATGCCATAGATAAGGGAAGAAAGCGCTTCCATCAATCATTAACAACTGACAGAGAGAGGAGGTACTCCATTTCCTGGTGTTGTTGGGAATCGCATCGCAGTTTTTGCAACACCTGTCCGTCGTTGGCTTTTGCGGCATCCAGGGTGGCATTATTCGGTCTGCGACCGTTCGGGGCGAACGAAACAAGAGACCTGTCACCGGTGGGGTAGGTCCCTGCTACTCCTCTTGTCGATCCTTTCCTGCATGAGTGCGGCTCCATCCATCCACCTCGCGTTTCTCACTACAGACACGGGTCTGTAGTAGTGGTTGCCTTACGGCGCTAAGCAGCAGTTCGCTGTGGTTGTACGCAACGGTTCGCTGTGGCGCGGCTATTTTACAACTCACGTGACACCTGGCTTGAGCCATCCTGAATCGTAATGAGAGCCTTTGAATGCATTGAATATGAATCCTATCACACCCGCTACCTGGTCAAGCGCATAAGAATTGATGAATACGCCTAATCATAACGTAAGGTCAAGAATTTCATACACAAGTCTTGCTTCATAGTTACAAATGGAACAAGTAGTTCTCCCCCGTGACATGGGACGACCACAATCTCAGCACATACGCCTCACTTCCCTCTTCCGTGATACCCGCACTCAATAATACTCTTTCCTTCTCTCCCTCTCTCTGCGACCTTAAGCCGAGCAGTCGATTCCGAATTCTGAAGTCCTAAAGATGATCCCCTGACTGGTGGGCTTCGAAATAGAAGTCGTCCATGATATAACCCATGGCGCCGAGGCTTCCCGGGTAGGTTTCGAGGGTAAGAACGAACGTCGTAATATCGGTGGTATTGATAGGTGACCCAAAATTGTTGCGCACCTCGGGTGTCGAGGGTTGGATAAGAGCTGCACGACACTTTTGACAGGACGTTTTATGACGTCGAGAGTTAGATGCGTGGTTCTGTAGGCTCTTGCCGCAAGGCATTTGAACCTTTTGGCCGTGTTTGGACTTTTGATGCCTATTGAGGTTGGATCGAGTGGAAAAAGTTTTGAGGTTGCAGCTAAGCTCCTGGCAAGCGAATTTGGAGAGGGACCTAATTCCCTGGTTGGACATGGTGATCGAGACGTTCTGCTGCCACGGACCTCTAGTGATGAGTGACCGGGCCTATCGATCTGGTAACAAAATTTTGAGAACGAGAAATCCTGTGTCTTCTGCCATCTTCGGTTAAAACAGATGAAATTGAAATCTTTTTGTATTCAGCTGTTCTCAGTAAATGAGGATTGTGAGCCTCTTCTTGATGGTCACCTCTTACACGTGTAAGGTAGGTTGCCAGTGTAAAGTGAAGGGGGTGGACGGGCGAGGTGGCCCGGGGTCACCCCATCCTGTTCGATCCCCGAAAGCCGAAGACTGTTTTCCGTCTGCAAGGCAAGATACTGATTGGCTGCACACAGGAAATGTCATCGGGTCAGCGGGGCAGCATGGCAGCAAGGTGTAAATTTGTTAGAAGGAGCGCATCGTTGCCTAACCACACAACCGTCTTCGTCCCACAATCCAGGGACGTGATTCGGAACGCCGCGCATTCATCTTCCGGGATGTCGTATCTCGATCACGATGACCGCTGGGGTTGTCCTCGATTCTTGCCTCGAGCATCTCACCAGCCATACAGCCACAAATACCGAGCCCTCAGCACACTTCACAGGAGACCCACCTCTACCTGACTTACACCGCTCCGTCACGGCCAGCCACACTGTTCGCGTCCGTCTCACGCTGCCCTTCCAATGCTAGACTATGGTATACTGTTACTCTGAACATCTTCACCAACACAGGAATCGGAACGTCTATATCCCCTGGAGCCTCTTTCGGCTTGGTATACGGCAATTCACCTGATGCATATCCATCTTGCAAGGTACGTAGCGTATTGACAGATGTGATGAACCATGTTTCATTCTTCTCAAGTGCGTCCGTTACATAACCATGGCTAGCTCCTCCTCTGAGAGGCACCGCGGAGGCGTGCAATAGAAATTCCCAAGCTGACGGGAGGGACGAAAAGAGAGGCCCTATCCAAGGCTCCATGTCGTTGGTAAGTCCAGTGCCAACAGCTTCCCCCACCATACATAGGCACAGGCTCGACTTCCCCAACTGCACTGCACCCCAAATAGTCCACCGACTAAGAGTCCACTGCAACGTTGTCTTCCATGAGATTGAGCATGAAGGTCATAGCTGCGAGACAGTCCTGACAGGTGTCCATGTGGCGCTTGACGTTCGACGGGTGGTTTGGTAGTAGTCTGCCGCAAAATACAAGAACCGACGGGCCATGCTTGGACCTCATGTGTCTGTTAAGATTGGACCGAGTAGAAAAGGTCCTCATTTCGCAGAAGGGTTCTGTGCAATGAAGGTTCGAGGGAGTCCCAGACAGCGGCGTAGCCATATTGACGTTGGCGGTACCCTTGCACTGGGCTCAGAAAGTAAATAATTGATGGCGGCTATTGATCAGGAGATGGAAGACGATATTAGAAGCTGTATGCTGCTCGTTTGCTCTCCTCGTCAAGACGAAGCTGATAATCGACTGGCCGTCATTTATACATGTATCGAGCATCTTGCAAGTGAGCGAACGTCTTCCTCGGGACTTATCTCGGTGTGGAATGACCCAAGTCAAACGTCTATCGAGGTTGTAGCGACAAGTACAAACGAGCCAACTTTCGACGCAAATTTACATCGATTGACAGGAGAGATAAACTGCTGTGACACCGTCAGTAATTTGTGTAACCGTGTGGTTGTGGTGCCTTTTGGATAAGAGGAAGTTCTTAGTCAGAGGATGGTTAGGTCCTTGATATGACTTCGGATGGACTGGCTCACCACATACGGATCTATACGGATCTTGAAAAACGCGGTCGGGCGAAAAAAGCAAAGTGTTAAGGCAACTTGATGGAGCGGACCGAGACAACAAACAACATGGAACTTGTTCGAGCAGGGGTCAGGAGCTTCCGCCGCTCCTTTTGTGCTCTCTCTTCTAGAAACAGCCTATCACGCAGCTTGAAAACCCGAAAAGTTCACAAAAGAGGGGGAAAGAACATAAAACCACTTAACTACTGGGATGATCAAGCTACGGGCTTCCCTGGCATTTTAATTAATTGATCTGGTTGATCTGGACGGGACAGCTTCATCGACGATGTTCAGAGACGGACGGAATCCTCTGAATCCCACGTAGCCTCCTAAGGCTGATGGCTGGTTCCTTTTGCCCGCTCCAGTGGCATGGAAACCCTCTCGAAACGTCTAGGTCTTCCAAGTCAAGACTTGCTGTGTGAGCCTGCCACCGTAATCATGTTGGATAGGCGCAGAGACGTAGGTCGTGCTGCCGGTCACGATAGCTTGCATTTGATGACTATGATGGCGCCCAATACACTAAGTGCATGTTGCGCCGGCCAATCTCGGAAAGAGACACCTGCCTGAATCCATGTGCCTTCCAATTCTCCAGGTCTATGGAGTATCACACTGGCCGCATAGGACAGCCTCGCCTCTTCGCTCCTCGCCCGCGCCGCACTCATTTGGAAATGGCACTGGCGCCAATCTTGTCTCTTGATGGAAAGCTTCAATTGTCGTCCCTCCGAATGTTGACATGGACGAATCATCAGTGTCGCTGGGTGCGTCTTCTGCACGATCTTAGTGTGAGTTCATAGAATCCGAAGTGAGGTCAATTGTCTCAATTTTAATGTCGGAATCAAAGTCGTGTCTGGAAATGTTAAGAGTCACTGGCACCGGCGTTGGGTACCGTACGGTTTGCCCGGGGTGCTCCGAAATGGTGGATCCCACCAACCGGGCACTTACACGGACACTTTGAACGCCACACGAGAACCGGATTGTATCATTCATCGTGGTTTATTGATATCAAGAGCCCCATACATACGAAATGTTCCAAAGCAACCGGGCTAATCATTGAAATCTACCCAGAAACGGCAGACAAAAGAAGTTCCAAACCTAAACAGACCCCTTGGCTTGCCATGTCACGACACGTGGGACAGCCAGCTCTTCCTAGCATAAGTGAATCGCAATCCAATCGAGACTTCCAAGCTGGGGAAAAGTGTTGCAAATACTCCTAGTCATAGATAAGCTCGGTGTTGGCATTCGCATTGATTTTGCTTATGAGCTGTATATTCAGCCACGAGGGTTCAGAGTTCCCGAAGGATCTTACTGGAAGGGCCCCATCCTCCAAAATATTGTTCATGTAGTAGTTGACGACCTCTACCTCATAAATCTCGAGGGCAGTATCGCGGTTCGGAGTCTGGATGGCACTGGTGGGGGCAGTCGTAGGTGTTCCGCTGCTGATTTGCTGACCCGGGGTTGAGGGCGAGCCCGATGATTCCAGACACTTTTTACAGGTCTGTTGGTGACGCCGCGAGTTGGATGTGTGGTTTGGCCGCATTACGCCGCAAGGCTCCCGTATTTTCTCTCTGTGCTTTGATAGGACATGTCTGTTGAGATTGGACTGAGTCGAATAGGTGGATTCGCAGCCCGCCTCTTGGCAACGGTATTTTGAAGGTGTGTTTGTCCCATCGGTGGACATGGCGATATTGGCGTTCTGGCTTAAATGCATCCAGCTAGCGATCGGCAATTGGAAGACGAGATTGGATAATAGGCACTGCGTGAAAGCTCCACTGGCCGACAGAGACAGGAAGAAGGAGAAGGGGAGTCATGTTTTAATGTTGCTAAAATGAGGAGTTCAAAACTCATCCCACGAGCGATTCCCGCCATCATTGTCACAAAGAACCTCAGGTCCGTATCTTTTTGAGTTGAGCCTCTGATGTCGACGTGTGCGCTCACAAACCTGTTCCTACTGGTTCCCGCGGGTCTCACAGGTCCTCGCTGGATAATTGGCAATGGACAATCGTCGATGATTGAGCTGAGGTAGAAGACTGCCTGTAAACACAGGCAGACATAATTGAGGCAGGGCAAGCAACAATTCGCCATCTCGATGATTTAGTAATGCTTGGCTCTTCCTTGCTTAAACTATCAGCCCAACTCTCCGGCGTTTTTTGAGCAGGCCGAGAAACATGGCGGGGTGTGCTGTGTAGGTATGAAGAAGGGGCCAGACGGGGCAGACGGGGCAGACCCGCCGGAATCCGTTCATGCTGAATAACGTAGGTAGGTAAGATGAGGGAGTACTGCAGTCACCACTGGCCATATTAACCTTTAGAGTTAAGGATTTACGAAGCTGTTCTAATCCTTCCTCAGCAATCCTTCCTCAGCCCTTCCATTGAATTTTAACTCGTCAGAGCTTCTGCGTCTCGACCCATGAGAATTACCTACTTGGGCACCACGCTAACCAAATCTCAAACCAACGCTTGTGAACTCTTAGCAATGACTGCATAAGCATATTCTACCTCCATCCTCCAATCTCCACGGCATACTGTCAGCCACGTATGTACACCATCATGCTATAATTCCCTGTGCTACCCCAGTTGAGGCTTTTCGCAAGTGAATACGGTGGCCCAGCAACGCGGAGCAGGTCCCTAAGCCCGTACATCTCCCTTCCAACGGGCGGGCCCAATAGGGACGTCATGGCTTTCTCGCAACCAGGCACCAGGGCACATCGGCAAGGAAGCATGCAGTGTCCATTCGGACCGTGTTAGTAACATCCTGGCTCCTCGCAAATTCGAGCCTGTTAGGTTGCCGAAACGTTGAAGCTCGCTCAGGTAGGGTAAGCAACCATGCTGACGGAGGATGAGGACAGTAAGAAGCCCGGTCCAGCCTGCCATCTTGAGAATTGGAGCAACACCGTCTACCGTCTTGTTATCAGATGAACCCTTCCCATCCCTCCCAGCTCGAGCACCCATTACAAGTTTACTTATGGCCCGCGCCCGAGAAGCACAGGAACCCCAGCACCCGAATGTAGAATCCTCATTGCGGGAACCACTGCCATTGGTGGTGGTCTGCTTGGTAAGAAGTTGGGGAAACCCATGGCCAATTGCATAAGACGAATAATCGGTGCGTTGTTCCGTCTTTTGAGTCATAGCTACCTAGGTAGCCGTCCTTATTGAATCGGCGTCTCCGTTATGCCAGAAAGTCAGCTTTCAGCTGTTGACGTTGTCGCCTCTGATTTCACAATGACAACTCTTCATTGTCCCTGTTAAAGAGCATCCTATAGGAGCCCTCAGAGACATATTGCCACACAGATAGCCTCGCATAACATGGCTCCGCATCCTCGCCCCCCGCCTCTTGCTCCTCACTCCTCACTCCTCAACGTGCCCCGTCTTCCGGCTCCCCCGCACCTCCGTCTCTCATCAGCCCCAGCTTCCCCGTCCTCTCCACCGCCATACCCTCCCCGCCCTCAGTTCGCCGCCAAAATCTCCGCCGCATCAGGCGCAGAGCTATGATCCCTCTTCCCATCCGCCATCTTAATCATCTCGGCCTGCTTCTTCATCCTCTCCGCCTCGGCCTGCTTCGAATGGCTCACATACGTCCCGTACCGCAGCGTGCCCAGCGTCAAGACCGCCATGAACAAGATCCCAATCACCGACCGCCGGATCAAGATCCACCGCAGGCCCTCGATTTCAGATTTGGCGTCGCTGCTTAGGTGGAGGCTGATTTTGTAGTTGATTTGTTGGATCTGGTCATGATCAGTACGACAGACCTTCGGAAGCATCAAAAGAAGAAAAGGGGGGGGGGGGGGGCGCGGGACTCACCACACTATCACCAGCCTTCTGCTCCTCCCTAACCGCCATCTTGCGATCATTAAACATACCCCGCACATTATCATTCAGCGTCAACAGCTCCTGATTCAAACTCTGCGTCAGAATATCAACCTCGTGCTGCAGCAGCGTCCTCTTCTGCCGCATCTCCTCGTCCGCCAGCTTCTGGTTATTCTTGACCTCCGTGCTCAGCTCCGAACACGCCGCCCGGAACAGATACGTCTCGTTCTCGACGTCGCTCTTGCTGACCAGACTCTCCTGCGCCACATCTAAATTTTGGGCCAGGATCGCGCGGATCGCCTTCATCAACGTGATGGCCTGGTCTTTGCTATACCCGCCGCCCTCGAGGTCCTTGACGAGCGAGTAACTGTCGAAATGGTGCACGTAGGGGGGCGGGGCCATGTGCGGGTGTTGTTTGGCGACTTCTTCGGGAGGTCCCATGTGTAGGATCGCTTCGAGAGGGCCGCTCTTTTTCGCTTGGTCGCGGGCTTCTTGCTTTGCGGCTTTTGCTTCCTCCGCCTCTTCGGGCTGTTGCTGTTGCTGTTGTTGTTGGTCACCAGAGGCGGCGCCCGTAGCGTTGGCTGCGTTATTCTCCGCCGAAGCTGCCGCCGTCTTGGGATTTACGCCGTCATCGGTCGCCCCCTTGGACGCACCGACCGCTGCCTGCCCGGGACTCGCCTCCTTTCCATCATTCCCCGGCCCCGGCGCCGGCACCGGTGCTGTCGCTGTTGCTGTCGTCGTCGCCGTCGTAGGCACAGGCTCGACCCCCTTTCCGTGTCTCGGCGCGAAACCCGACTGCTGCGCCCCAGGCGTAGGCGCGAACGCGGCGTACCCCCGTCTCCGAACCTCGGCGGGTCCCCGTCTCCGACATGACTTCGACGCCGCGCGGCACGTCGTCGTCGTCGTCGTTGTTGTTGTTGTCTCGCTGAGGCGTATCGTCCGAAAAAGGTGCGGATAGAGAAACGTTAACCGTGCAGGCTGCATCGTGAGTGGCTGTGGTCGTGGTGTTTGTGGTTGGTGTAGGGAGAAAAAAAGGTAATTGGGAAATTTGGGGAGGTGATGAAAATGGGAAAGTAAAATGGCAGCGGATACACCCGTCCAGGTTAATTTCCCACGGATGCGCACGTGGGGGGCACGGGGTCCAGCGTGTTGGAAGGCTAGGTACCTAAGCTCAGGAACCCGACGTTTACTACCGGTCTGGAGCTGTTTTCCCCTGATGTCATTGGGTGGATCCCTGCCGCTCATCCAAGTAGCCAAGGTACCTAATCCCGATGCCGACCTCGCTGTCGGGTCCGTTTCCGAAACCAACGGAAAATCCACCGAGAGCACTTACACCGAGGTGAGCATCGAGGTCAGTGATGATCTGTCTGACTGTTGTACATTGCAAACAATCAACAACCCCTTGAACAACCCCCCCTTACTCCCACCTCACGCTCACACCCACCCACATGGTCAAATCATCTGAAACTTTCCATACTCTCACGTCTATTGACAGGTCTAATCCGTCAGACTAAGACTGGTATCGCTTAGACACGAATAATTCAATAAAATACAAGAAGACTCGAAAAATATCATCTGCGCCCCAAAATGACCGACCCTGATGCCCCCCTTGGTGGAAACCCGACAAACCCCCGATAGGAACCTCATATTCCAACCGGCCGCTTTCCGTGTTCGTATCGCTCAGCCATTGTTCCTGTGATAAACCCTTCCAATAGCTCTCCAGAGACTCAGACTCATTACTTTGCGAATAAAAAAAAGTCCAGAAAACTTGCAACCAAAAAGCAACAGAGAATCATGTCCGTTTTGGGAACCCTCGCCATTCCCCAAGTATTTGTCCAAGCAATTTTTCTACCGTTGTGACCGTGTTCCAGCCATGTATGTGGGGGATTTTTTGGGGGGGTTGCATATTCAGATCAGGTATGTGTAAACAATATTAGGTAAGTGTTCGTCATCTTTTTTTCTTTCTCTTGCAAACAAGTCTGGCACGTGAGCCGGGATCGTCAAAGTCCGTTTGGTGTCGTGATGCATGTCCGAAGCAACCGTAGACGCCGTCATCGCAAAAGATTCGTGTAGTACTGTTTTCAGGCCTCCTCCACTTGCACCTTGAGGCTGACACCTCCGAGCGCGCTGGACTTGTTGTCGTCCTCGGCAACCTCGCCAACGGCACTGGCGCTGGTGCTGGGCGGGCTGCTGCTCTGAGGGCTGTTGGGCTCCATGGTCAGGACCGGGGTTGGCGCGGCCGAGTTGGTGTCGGCCTGGGATCCCCCAGACTTGGACGGCGCCGTCTGGGTCGTCGCGTAGATGAGCCGGTCAATGGCAGCGAGCTGGCGGCTGGTGCTGGTCTTGCGAAGGGTCTGGAATTGGGGTCGCATCTCCTCCACAAAGGCTTCGCGTTCGGCACCCTCGAGCTGGTTCAGCAGCTTCTGAATGACGTAGTTGCCATACTGGTCCTTCATCATCAACTGGAGCGAGCTTGTACCATCGCTCGCCTGGGAAATGATTTGCTCCCGAATGCCCTTGCGCTCTTCCGCGTTACCGTACTGGATGCACTTCTCGACAACGTTGGACGCAAACTTGTGCTTGGACAGGGTGACCAGCTGCGCAATGACAAGCTGGATGATTCTCGATCGGTCCTCGGGCATGCCGTGCTCGATGATGTGCTGCACGACATAGTTGCCGTACTGGTCGGTGATGAGAACCTGCGTCGAGTTGTGCAGCTCAGCCAAGATGGTCTCCTTGTCCTGCTCTGTGCCGTACTCCAACATGCGCTGAATGACCCTACAGGCGTACATATGAGCCGCCAGCTGGCTGACTTGGCCGCGGAATGCGTCCATGACGAAGTCAATGTACTGGCGAGGAACCAGCTCGATGATCTTCTGCACAACGTGGTTGCCGTTCTGGTCCTTGACGACCTTGAGGATCTCGGGCTCCAGCTCCTTGACTAGCTCGGCCTGCTGCTCGACAAGAACGTGTTCCAGGGCCTTATTTTGTTAGTTTCGTTCACGTTTGCTATGCGAATGTGTACACACCTTTTGGACAACGCGGCAGGCGTACATCTGCATGGACAGGTCAACAACCTTGCCCTTCATCTGTGACGCCAAAACCTTCTTCTGGACTTGGTTGCCGTGCTCAAAGAACTTTTGGATAACGTAGTTGCCAAAGACATCCTTCATCAGCTGGATGGCGTTGGGCTCAATCTCGCGGAACACCTGATCCTTCTCATCGCTGTTGGCAGTTTCGAGCTTTTGTTGGATGAAGCGCGATCCGTGCTGGTCTCCGCTAAACTCGACAATGTGGCTGTAGATGTCCTTCAGCTCGTATCGCTTGTTGGACTTGGAGCTGGACCTGAATTCCTCCAGGAGCAAGCTGCGGACGCCCTTACCAGGGTCCTGGTCCTTGCTAGGCCGGATGGGCATCACGCCCGGCATCGAGTACGGCGCCATGTGCAAGCCGTAGCTAGGCAGAGGAAGCGATGGACGCCCATACGGGTCGAACATTTGCGGAGGGTACTGGCCTGCAAAGTTGGGAGTGTAGTAGGGTCCAGGGTAGAACGCGGGAGCCTGCGCCTGGATGAAAGCGGGAACAGGCGTTCGGCGGTCGCCATCCGGGACCATTCTCAGATCGCGGGATGACGGCCGTTGGGCCCACAGATCAGACGCTTGAGGCGCATATGTCTTGGGGCTAGTGACAACCCGGTACTGACCAGAGGCACCGGCGATGCGGTCGGTGGAACCGCGCTTGTACTGAGCCGCCATGGCGTCGGCGTACATTTCGCCAGTGATGGCAGCGTTCATGTCGCCCCTCCAGGGCTGAGACACGGGGTTGAACTGGAAGTTCTGCGCACCGGCGGCGATGCTCTGGGCCTCGTCAAGCGTAAGGGACTTCTTGAACTGAGGAGCCAGGTCCGTTTCGTCCATCTGTCTGCCGTTGGCCATAAAGGCCCTGTTGTTGGTAGTCTGCGTGGGGAAAGAGGAAGAGTGACCGGGGATGGCGGGACGGCTCGAGGCAATCGAGTTGCTGGGAGTGTGACCATAGCCCACAAAGTTGTCTCGGAAGGCAGGGGGCGAATGGTGCGAGTCGTCCGACTGGCGCGAGGGAGGAATGCTGCTGTCTCTCGAGGGAGCACCCACCACACCGAGATTCAGATAGGCATTGTCTTTGGAACCTCGCTTCTCCTGCCTTGCGTACGAACCATCAAAGGCGCCGCCGTAGCTGGGCCCGAAGCCTGTGTTCTCCTTGTCCTCCTCCAGGTATGATTTCGGCCGTCCATTGATGAGGTTGCGTCCCTGCCCGACGGCGTTGTTATCGAAGAAGGAGTTGCTGTTGTGGATGCTGTCGCGTGTGCGGTTCGGCGAGGTGCTGCCTGATGCTGATCGAGTCTGGGTGTCCTGGTTCCAGGGATTCTGAGTCCACGTGTCCGCCTCCGAGTTCGCAGCAAGGGCACCGGACCCTGATGGCTGTCCAGCGAAGCTATCTTCCGGGCCTGGTGCATCACACATAGTTAGCATCCCGGTCCGACGTTTATCAATCAATCATCGTCCCGGTCAACCATACCTCTGGGGTCTCTCTTTCCTGCGCCTCCTGTGTACGTTGTGTTCCAGATGTTTTGCGAGTACAAGTTGGAGCCTGTGAAGCCAGGGGCGACGCCGGCGGCAGGCTTCTCATTCTGGCCGTTTGCCATGGGGAAGCTTCCGTACCGACCTGCTGGCCGGGCCTGGACAACGTGGCAGGTTAGCAAAGTGGCAGCCATTGGTGGAGGGTAGAAGGAACAGCAAAAGAGAAAGTAAGGCGCGAGGCAAGCTTTTTTTGAGCTGTTTGCCAGGTCTAGGCGAAGTTCCGAGCGCCGAATTGGCGACTCGAGCCAAGAGGCCATGAGGCCGCTAGGGAAGCGCAGTCTTGACACACACGGCCGCGCGCTCGCATCTTCGCAACCCGGGGCTCACCCCCATCGGACCTCACGTGGAGTAAACGGGGCAGCGACTTACGGTGGTGGTCATGTTTGTGGTCGGTCTCTGCGCAGGAGAGACGGTCGCAGAAGATGCGGTCGAGTGTCCGGGGGGATGCGGAGAGAGGAGGAGCGAGGGTTTCCGGAGGTTGACCTTTTTTGGTGCGGCGAATGGGGGTGAGATCGGATGCACCTTGCTTGCTGCTTGATGCTGCTCTTTGGTCTGTCTGTCCCACAGAGGTGCTGTGGTGGCTGGCGAGAAGCGAGAGGATGCAGAGGTTGAAGGGACCGGTCTACGTGGCTGACTGGATGGCTGCACACACACGTCGAGGGCGCAGCTGCTTGCGGGAAGTTTTGGGTTTTCCGCTCGTGAATTATATACGATGTAGGTGTAAACTTTTTCTTGCGACAGGAACTTTCTCCAGGAATCGTCTATGGCGCGCGGACTAAAAAACGAAGGGAGAACGGTGGGCGTCAGCAAAACCAGGCAGACTGGGGGGGCAGAATTTCTAGCGCGAAGCACAGGGTTGATTGTTGAGGAGAGGGTTTGCCCGCTTTGGTCGTGAGGGAGGGAGGCGAGCGAGGAGAAATAAGGTGAGGGATAAGGGTGCAGGTGTGCGTACTTGGATTATGTAGAAAGAAACAAAGCGAGTGGGCTCTCCGGGAAGGCAAGGTATGTGGGAGAGCAATAGCGGGATGGGAGGGATGGAGGAATGTGAGGACGGGCGAGGATGAGGGCGAGAGATGACGAAGAGAAAGAGAGAGAGAGAGATAGAGAGAGGGAGGAGTACGGATAATGCACGGAGAGTAAGGTAACTCTGTCAAGGTATGTAAGGTATGTATGTATAGAAGCGACTGGAGACTCTTTTGATGATGTGGAAGACAAAAAATGCACAGTGATAAAAGTAGACCGAGAACAGAAAACA